AGTGACAGCAAATCTCTGCAGATAAACATGACGGAGGAGCTTATGGCAACAGCTCTGAGATCGGTGCGGAGCTGCTGCAGGGCCAGACCAAGACTCCTGCCAGGGAGCGCCCCTCTTGTCCTGCACCCCAGGCTGCTCTCCTGGGCTGCCAGTTGTGAGCGGGAGCAAATCCGTGGCGCAGGGCTCTGCCAAGTTCTGTTCGCAGCCTCGAAGCTACGTGTGCTTGTCGAACAGAGCGCTATGCACAGCCCATCAGAGAAAAAGCGACTCCTTCCAGATCCCTTTTCTCCATCTACAGATTGTTTTGTGTGTGATATCATCGTTCTGTGCTTATCTGCCTCTTCCCCCCGACCCGCTAGCTCTGCCCTGAATGGCTTTGGCCTTTGAAGCTCCTGTGTCCCTACACAAAGCAGAGCAATTACAGCGTGATCTCAATGTGGTTTTCATTACGGCATTAACAAAACATTTCTGATTTATGGGTCCTTCTCGTAGACAGTTTCTCTACCTCCGAGAGTGGTCCAGTGTCTTTCCACATTCCAATCTCCCCACAAAACAGCTTTGAAATAACAGCTTTGCTTGCAGAGTTGTCACAAGGAGTGGCGTGAGAGGAGGAGCCTGCCGGGAGGATCAGAGATTGTGCTTTGGTAGGTGGGGCAGAGAATTATGGAGGATTTTGTCTCATCTGAGGTGACAAAGGGACAGTGGCACTGCTCAGGCTCACCAAGGCTCGGGGCTCCCAGTCTCTGGTGGGCTGGGGTGCAGAGAAGGGCCCTGCTGGCACAGGCGGATGGGAGAGCAGCCAGGCTCCCGCCCAGCTCGGCTGTACCAGCCTAATGGAGCAGAGTCTTCCCTAGGAACAGAGGACTAGGTGTTTTCTGAGATGGGCTTTAGGTGAAAGCAAATCATAAACATGGGGATAACAGAAGGAAATTGTTAGTCTGTGATATATGGGAAGTCTGGCTAACAGCTTTTGCAGCCTTTTCTGGACTAAAACGTTGCTGCTATTGCGAGTCCGACAGTCAGCACCTGGGTATTGCAGTGGCAAACTGAAAGCTTTGTGCTTCCTCCAACCCCTTCTGGAAGGGATCTTTGCAGTCTGTTTCAGTACGTCAGTTGGCTCTTGGGTGAACCATTAACCAAAGCAAAGGCTGTTAATTTTAGCTTGATATGGCTAAAAGAAAGTCCTGCTGTCTGTCTTGGTCACCTTCTTTGGGTTTTTGTACCTCTCTTTTATTGAGGTTTGCTCTTCTGTGTTAAAATATCACACATATGTTGAGGCTTTTATTATTGTGGCTGGGAAGGACTCCAGGTCCTGGCTTGCCAAAAGGTTACACCCTGCTAATGGCAAAAGAAATTATTCACTAATGCTGGGAGTAATAGATTTTACAGGCTACAGATAGTTGTTAAAAGGTGTAGGAATGCTGGGTAGCGAATTACAGGAATTTGAGCAGTAGAAAGTACCTTGTTGACAGGGCATCTGCAGAAACCAGAGGTGTTTTTGTGAGATGTTTGACCCTTCTCCATTCCTGCAAACTGCTCTGAACGGTTTGTGCCTTAGGACTGATTAGTTGTAGCTGCCTGTGTGTGCCGTGTCCCGCGGGGTTTTTTTGCACCGCGAGAACCTTCTCTGGCTTGACGCAGTGTTTGGAGGTACAGGGGTAAGGAACCAGTCCCGTGGGCAGACTTTCTCCAAAGTGAGGCACTGCAGTATGTCCTCGAGATGGCCAAGCTCTTCACTGGTGTCTGAGCTGCGATCAAGTCCCGGGCAGCATTTCTACAAAGTTGGCAAGGGAGGCAAAGTGATTTTTTCAAGGTTACCCGGGCAGCTCACAGCCAAGCCAGGAACAGAAATCGCTTCCTGGGCAGCAAAGTCAGCGGTGTCGAGCACAGCGCTCCGCCCCCCAACCTTCCACAGCTCTTCCACTAGTCTTGTCAGCTGAGAGGAGTCCAAACCACAAAATTCAGATTTTTGGCATGAGATCTAGAGTTTGGGAGCAATCAGGCCATTCTCGAAGCACAGGAATACGGCAAGTTTTTTTCTGCAGCAACCGCGAGAAGCAGTGCGCTCGCAAACGCGTCCTGCAGATACAGATGCAATAGCAGATGAGAAGTGTTGTTTTGTTTGGTTTCCCTATGTAAGTCTTCCAGGAAGGCGTCAGATGGCCCGAGTTATGCAAACCAAATGGATCTTCTTTTGTTTAGAGCGAAGGAAAATAGTCACTCATTTTTGTGGTGAAACACACACATTCTCCAAACAAAATAATCTCTCCCTGTAGCCAGCCTGGCCAGCCATGAGTCCCCTCTTGGGACTCGAAGTCCGATAAACTTTCTAGAGAGGCGAGTTGGGAGTGGGAAGGGAGAGAAAGAGAAACAAAAAGCTGATGAGTTCTAAGTACAAAGCCTTGCAAAATTAAGCCAGCTTTTGTTTTAGTGAATGCTGGCACGCAGAATTCTTTGGCCTTTGCTGCCAGTGCTAGCAGAGGAGAAAAAAGACATTGGTGTTCGTTCTCTTGGCATGTGTGTGCCGCAACAGTGTCATAAGTTTATGGGAGTTAATGACATCTTCGTAAATCGGGGTGAGAACAGAACCGCAGGGCCAGATGAACCACCGCCGCACATCTGCCGCGCCGGCGCGAAGCGGGAAACGCCGCGGGTTCGTTTGGTAACCCCCGTTGCAAAACCGAGCGGCTGCATGTGATGCAAGCTCGGCGTAACTCCAGTGCCTGCGCTCTGCGGGCCCTAGGGAGGGAGGGATGCGTGCTGTCGCGGGCTTTCAATGCCTGCTGTCTGCCGGCCTCCCTTCGAATGGGGAGGTAATCCTCTAGATAGTGTGGGGCTTGCAGAGGAATACCCTGTGCTAAAAACACGTGCTTCCGATGTTTAGCCTAGTAGAAGCGTTCGTCTGTGTTCTTGCACGGAGGCGGTGGAAAAACACTGATAATACGGCACTTTCCAGGCCAGGAGCAGGGATCGAGAGGGATCTCAGAAGCTGAAGGCTGCTCTCAGTAGGTGAGCCGTGATGCAAAGCGAAGCCGGCCTGTGAATACCACAGGGCTGGCTGAAATGTTTCACTTTCAGCTGGTTGCCCGTGTCAAACAGCCCTTAACAAAATAACTGCTGTGGGTAACCCACAAATTCAAGCGTTTACATGTAGGCATGGGATTTGCTGGAAGCTGGAAACATAAGGAAAACTTCAGGTTACAACTAAGGTTACAACTTTTCATTACCATTTCAATTTTTTTCTTTTTAATGGAGTGTAAAAAATAAACATTTCCTAACCTGCCTGAGGAAATACTCTTTTATATCGCTGCCAAAGCAAAGAAATACACCAGTATGAAATAGGGATTATAACGTGTGATAGGAATTACTAGAGCAATACTACTGCTTTCTAAAATTTTGTTTGCAGTGGAATGTTTAGGAATGTCTGGGAAAGAATGCTTCACTTGGTGAGTCCTGCTTCCGTATGAGGGGACAAACTCTTGCAGTCTGTGTCTTTAATCTTTATGCCTCCTCCACTCTAGTAAAATGTTCTGTGTGATCCTGCTTGTGAGTAAACCCTGCCGAGTTACAGCTGAGAACGGGGCCAGGATCGATAGGGCTTTGCTGCTGGTGCCCCGATCATTACTAGACGCCATCGACGCGAAGAAATTTATCTTGGCAGCCAAGTGAAGAATGACCAAGGCTCACAGAAATCACTTTAGAGCAGGTCACCGTATTCTCTTTGGCTTGCGCTTCTTTTCCTCATTGCACTGGCACCTTAAACGGAGTTGTACCTTGCACAAGCTTCCTCAAAACCAAAAGACCAGACAGTCAGAATACTTCAGCTCAGACGGTGAGAGACCCCGGGTTTGCTGCCCGTGCTTCAAATAGCAAAGCAAGGTGGAGATGGATCGTGCTCCGGTTTCAACAGAGCCCCATGAAACGAAGGGCTTTTCCACGCCGCAGTGTAGCGAGTGACAAGGTTCAAGACTGGGCTACAAGATGGGAATTGAAACCTGCAGATGTGAGAGGCAAAGGGGAAGCAATCTGGCGGGAGAGGAGGAGCTTTCAAACCAAATAAGAATTTTAACAGGGAAATTTTAGGAAGCTGGTAATATATGGTAACAGCTCTCATTTCAGGTCTAGAAGCATCTCTGTAGAAGGCCCTAGAGCTGGTTATAGTACAGCTGGTAGAAAGCTTTCTGAAGCACTGACGTGCTCCTGGAAAACGCTGATTCAGCAGATTTCTGCAGGAATGTGTGGTTTCCAATCCAAAAGAAACAAAAGCCACCCAGCCTGTCTGCATGGTTTTCTGCCAAGCTGCCCAATCTCTAGTCAGCGGGCAAATGGGCTGGGAAGTTCCTTGGGATCCCCATCCCTCTGGTCACCAGAGAGAAGGTACAAAGTGTGGATTCAAATCCACGAAAGAAGAGCATTTGCTAACATTCCTGTTTCCCAAGCAACTGCCTATCGATAATTTTTCTCACTCCACATTTCAAATCACAGTATAATTTAGGTTGGAAGGTTTCATTTAGGTTCAGACTAGTCTGCCTTGAAGTGCAAAATTTTCCATACTACACAATTTTCTTAATCCAGCTATTTTCCGTTATGCGTAATCTGTGGCAGCTCTGTCTGGTCTCCCATACAGAGTGGCTGTGACAACGTCCTCTCAGCATTCAAAAAGCTTCATATCTTCGGTTTTGTTGTGGCTTAGATGGGTGGCGTGACAGATTTCAACGGTTCGGAGCAGCTGTCAGAGTGGCGAAGGCACTGTGGGTGCCCGTAGGTGCGGGGCTTCCCGTGGCCCCAAGGCATTGGCATCTGCAGGGGCAGGTTGTCCTCAGCCCTTTCGTAGGAGCGGTGGCACTAAAGGCTTTGTGGAATGATATTTATGTATCAAGAGCCAGGAAAAACGTTATTTAAGCTTGGTCTTTAAGGCCTGTATTACTGACCTGATAATAAATACCAATATTTCTCTTTTTTTTTGCAGATGAGAAGCCTTTTGTTGTAGAAGATACCTACTTACTCTGCCCAGCACCTGTGCTACAAGAAGTTGGCATGTATGTTTTTCCTACGTACTCAGATATTTACTTTGCCTGTGGAAAAATGGGTTTGCATCATCTCGTCGTATTCTGTTGTTCTTATATGTGTGTAATTCTGACATTGTCTCTTGTGCTTGCTGGGCTAATTGACTGTTGTGCCTTGGAACCCAGGGCAGAGAGCAGCACCAACGTGAATCTGCCTGTACAAAAGTCTTTTCTGTGCATCAGGAGCCCGGGCTCCAGAGGAGATTACCTAGTAAAGGACTGTGGACTAGCTAGCCTGACTTGTTCCTTATGGTTTGGTTTTTCTGTTGTTGTTTTTCAGGGAAGCAGCTCTTCAAGTCAGTATGAACGACGGTCTGAGCTTCATCTCTAGCTCCGTCATCATCTCCAGCACACACTGTGTAAGTTTTGATTCATGTGCCTGAAGGATTCAGTAAAGCACTTAGCAACAGGTGTTTGTTACACCAGTATTAGCGCTTCCGAGCTGAGTAAGCCTGGTGTGCAAAGGTGTTCCCTCTTTTAAAGGTGAGCCTGTGAGTGCGGTAACGTTTTGTGTGTCGTGCGTGCCCTAATGGAAACGCTCCAGGCTGTCTGCAGGATGCAGAGCACAGCAGCCCGTGGTCCGGAGGTACCTTGGCCTGCTTGGCCACTGCACAGTGAAGAAGCAGCAGGTCTGCTGGCTTCGTTAGCCAGTCCCTTTCCTCTTCAGCAATGGTGGTGCTAGTTGTGAGAGGTGGGTGCTAGTTGTGAGAGTTGTGTGACAGTTGTGCTCACACCCTTTGGCTGGAAGCAAGTACGGTTGCCAAAAAAAAAATGAAGGTGATTCTGTGCTGAAGTTGCCTTATGGCTGGCAGCTCTGCTGCCAGGAGGGACTTGCTGCACTCAGTCTCTGGTGGAATCGGGCAAAGGACAATAAAAACATTTGTAATTCATGGTATTGCTGAAGATGCATCTTCTGCTAAGTCGTGACTGTTGGCAAGAGAGCATGAAATGACTTGTACTAAAGGAGGTAGTGGAGGAATTCACTTTGAGTTCAAAGCAGTTCTTCTTGCTCAGCTTTATTCTGCTACGCAGAGACCTCTGCTCTGTACAGCGAATGGCTGAGGCGCTACTTTACCTGTCCCAGGTACTGACTTAAACTAGGTTTTGGGAAGTCAGAGCATTCTTGCCAGAAAGCCTTGAAAACCTGTCCACAGCCTGCATTTCTCCCTGTCCAGTAAAGGTGCGTCGTGTGTCCGTATAGAAAAAGGGCAAGGCTAACTTGTATCCCCTCGGATTGCCAGCAGCCTCTGTGGTCCACAAAAGCTGATGCACAAGATGAGAAAAGTCTTTTGTGTCACTTGATCTTGATACTTGTTCAACACAATTTTATGGAGAGACACTGTTCAGAGCTTACGTGAGTGCTTATATTCCAAAACTTACAAAGACTTCCTTATGCCTTCAAATGAAGGGAATTATTTTTTTTTCTTCTCTTTGCTCACTGGCAAAAATGTATTTGCATGTTGTCAGCAAATTACAGGAATATTTTCCTACGTTCTGTTCATATGAGGCAAGACTTGGGAAAGAATTCTTAAAAAATATTCCTTCCCGATATGCCGTCTTCTGGGGGTAGAATTATTATTTCTAGGTTATAGGAGATGAGATATCTGTTTCTTTTCTATTGTTTTAATAGCTGTAAGGAAGCTTTCAACAATCGCTATGCTTCACGGCACTGCCCGCTACTCTGATGCCTCCAGACTGGGAAAATGGACTTGCAGTGCAGCGAAGCAGCCAGAATTCAAATCCAGCTCCTGCAGCTGAACCTAAACTCAGCGACGTGCAGTGGCTGCTTTGAAAATTATATCACAGGCCTCACTAACTGAGGAACCTTCTTCTGGATGAACACGCGTTTTGTCTTTTTAGTAGTGCTTATCTTTTCCAAATTCTTTTTAAAGATGAAATTGTTTTCTGAGACTACAGTCCTTTCTTTAATTAAGGTTACAAGCGCTCCAGTCCTGGAAATACCCGTATACAAGATGTGCACTTATTTAATTGGCTGCAGACCTGAAAGTTAGGTCTCTTTGAAGATCTGCAGCCGAAGCAGGATGGTAACAAACACGGAAAAAAACCTACAGTTTTCTTCTCTGTGTGCAAACTAGCAATCCGAGCTTCGGGTTTCCTCTCTGTGCTGTAGTTCAGTTTGGAAAGAGGCCTGCTCCGGAAATGGGAGAAGAAGCAAAATAAGAGGCTTGACAGCCTGACAAGCTTTACCATTTCTTTGTTTTCTCACGTAGCTCCACATCAGAACAATCCTATGCAACATGTAAATAATCTGCAAATATGCCATTTGCCCTGTAAACAATACCTGCCCTGTTCTCTGAACTACTCCTTTTCAAGGACCATCTGGAAGTATTCCAGGAAAGAAAATTCACCCAAGAGCAGAGCTGAAGCAGACAGACACATTCCCAGCCAGTAAAGACCAAAAATGAACCGTCAGAAAATTCAGTCAGACTTTGACTACTAAGCTATGAGTGTAAGTATTTGAAGATCAGAATGGATAGAGCCTAGACATGGAACTATTTAATAGGTTTTTCTTGCTAAAGAAACTGGGCCAGTTCCTTATAGGTTAATAGAGCAAAGCTCTTTTATACTAGCACAGGTCCTGACTTTAAGTAATGTCTAAGGACTCCTAGGAATGAGGCAGCTACGTAAATGTTAGTTTTATTGAGCAGTGAAAACTCTAGAAGAAAGAAAACGCTTTTCATCTTAGACGGGTAGGTCACTTTCTGGAAAGAAACAAAGGAACAAAGACTTTTCTAGAAGCACATCACAGCTTCTCTTCTGTAGCTGAGCAAGACCCGACTCTTGGATTGCCAGAGGCGGGGAGGGAGGCGCGCTCAGTACTCCTGTGCTCACGTCGAGTTTTCTGACACCGAGTGCCAGCTGCTGAAAATGGGATACTTGGACTTTCTGCCTTGCCCAGTGCCGTCATTTTTGTGAAGCTGCCAGTTCAAAGTGCTTTTCGCAGACTCTGCTGCCTTCACATTCAAATACTGAATGCGTGGCAGAAAGGGCTCGGTGTGCTCGTCCCCTTTAGTAAGCAGCAGTGTTTTGTGTCCCTGACAGCAACAATGCACGTGCCTCTCTGGTATAAACTGACCCTTTCTGGGAACAGCCAGAGCTTTTGCTTCAGTACATGTTGCCTAACTGAAGTAATTTTTTGCATTTTTTTCCCCCTTGAGGTGTAAAATCTGCTAAAGCATTTCAAGGAGGAGAAAAGGAGGGAAGGTTAGAAATGAAGACACACATGACGGCTGATTTCGTCCCCTTAGTCGGGGAGACACTTAAATACATCTCACTTTCCAGCATTAAGGTCTATTACTTGTCTAATCTGTCAAGGCCAGATTAGACCGCACTGACTGCAGGGTCTGTCTGGCGCAGAAGGAAAGATCAGTCAGAGCAAAGCTTGACTCCCCAGTCTCGTGCGGGGGTGGCCTTTAGTTAAAGGTGGAGTTGTCATTTTCTGGAGATGGTAAAAAAACTTTGACTCTGGGGACTGCTCAGTTTTCAGAGTGCAGTCTTTACCTCACAGAAGAGTGAAAGAAAGAAAAAATATAGAACCGAGTTAGTAGAGGAGATTTTTTTTTGTTTCGGTGGATGTGAGTCCCTCCCGTTAGCCGTGTCCCCAGGGGCTGCAGCGTGCGTGCGCGCGGATCGCTGGGGCAGGGCAAGGCAAGATGTGTGATCCAGGGCAGAAGGAGTCGTGAGGCTTGGGCCCCTCTGTCCGTCAGAGGCTCCCTGCCCCAGCCCTGGACAGGCAGGGCCCCGTGTATCAGCAAGGAGCTCTGTGGACAAAAAGGGGTTTTGCTTGTTGAAGGAATGCGGTGATTTATCCATTTATCTGTCAGAAGCGGGCCAAACACTGGAGCTGTTGCGGTTGGGCAAAACATTTGTTCTGTTAAATTATGGGATGCAGATGAAACCCTCTAGCTTAGGGCAGAGTGATGCTGCGTGTAAACATCGAGCTCGCTTGTGCCCTCTCTGGGGATGGCCAAGGCTGTTTTTCACTCAGCGGCTTTGCTGACTACACACCCCAGCCCAAGCATCGCTGGCTGGCTTCTGGTGAAGCTGCGAGCAGTGGCTGGATTCATTTCAGAAGCAAGAGGGTAACGCCGTGTAAATCAGGGGCTGCAGACAGCAGTTTAATCCTGCTCCCCACTAACTTACGTATTACCCAGTTGAACTAAGACGGGACTGTCCTGAGTATGTAATTTAGGGTGTTATTTGGCCTGGGCTGTGTGACCACTGGCAGCTACCCCAACAGAACAGGGGAATGGCTGGAATGAGTGCTCTTAAGATTTGGAGACAGCGTGCTGTTTATGTGCTTAGCCTGGGGTAAGATGCCAGCATCTCCAATGAGACAGAGCTCAGCTGGCTGGAAGTATTTGATGGATTTGTCTCTCGGCTTGCTTGTCTTGGAGAGTTACTGATCTGTTTCTCCAAAGTTGGCTTTTCTATACCTGTACCTTTTAAATAACCTTTTTCTTTCATTTGAAAGTTCCCTGCGGGGAAAGGAATCCCCCCTTCCATACAGAGAGCAACGGGGAGGTGTTGTTCCTGTATGACTCAAGCAAAAGAGAGCAAAGCCGTGTGGGGACACCCCGGTGAGCTCTGCTGCTGGCAGCAGGTGCTGCGTGGCACCCCTGAACTCTGAAGCCTGCACAGGCCAAGCACACGTTAGGGGCAAGGCATTGCTTCTAAAGAATTCCCCTTAAGGCTGTGGCATCCCACTGACCCAGAGAGAAGCTGAGCTTGTTCCGCGGTGTTCTTCTGCACAAGGTAATCCCTTCTCTAGAGAATCCAATGTGGATTTAAAACCCTTCCTCTCTTCAACCCTTGAAATCAGTTGTGGCAGCTTGGACTGGGATTTCAGGAGGAGACTACCCTTGAAAGCATTCTTTACGAGGCTTGTGAATGTATCCTGGGCATCTGTTTAGCAACTGGATCCTCCAGTTCTGAGTTTCAAGGAGGTATTTTGGTTATAAATAAGGTTTAGTTATCAGAACTTGCCATTGTCTGTCTCTGTTGCACAACTCAAATTAGACAGAGGCCCCTTTTGGGGTGAAAGACCCTCACCCCTTCTAATAATCTTTGTTCCTCGGCCTTTGTGCTGCAGTCACAGTTGCGGCTGGGCTTCGCAGGTGCATGAGGTGCCTTGGGTCTCCGCCACAGAGGTCTCTATGCAGTGTGCTGGCACCGGCCAAAAGTGCCCAGTAACTGAACAAAGCTGGCAGTGACTGCAGCAAGGGCTTCAGAAACCTGAGACGTTTGTGAAATGAGACAGGGACCTACTGGAGAGAGTCCAAGGGAGAGCTATGAGGGGGATCAAGGGACTGAACGTCTCTGCTGGGAAGAGAGACTG